CCAATAATTAATTTTAAACGATACATTAAAATTAGATATTTATTACTTATTTTTATTAATTTTATCTGTTTATAAACTGTCCATGAAATAATTTTATATAACAAATTTAACAAACTTTAAGCTGAAGTCGATATTCATTAATCTAATTGGAGGATTGGGTTCAAATTTTCAAGAAATCATTTATGAACTAATGAATAAAAAAAAAAAAATGTAAATTAAGTGGCCCCTGATAATAATGTAAAGTAATTATTCTTTATTCTATTATTATCTAAAAAGTGTATTTATTTCATATTTTTAAATAGTTTTTATGACTATAATATATGAGCAACAACCCTATTTATCGAAGGGTTGTTTTTTTAGGTATCATTAGTTTTAGCCTTCGAATAACCCCTGAATCAAGGTTGGTTACATGACAGTTGCAATTTTTGAAGTTCTGATTAGTATAATATTAATCGGCGATGTATAAAATAGATATTTTGAAACCATATCCTACACTCACATTAAATCAACTATGACGTGACATATTAGCCCACAATGATAATATTTCAAAAACAACAGTTATAAATATAATATAATAACAAATTGTTTAGTATACTTTGAACAATTATACATATTATTCTTTGAATTTTTATAGCATTGTATCGTAAGTGCACAGCACATGATTGCTAGATATTATTTGTTTGTATTTTTAAACATGAATAATATTTTTATACTTAAAATAATATTTTCATGTTGTGTACATTTCAGAATAATTTCTTTGTATTATATCTAAACACTTAACAAAGTACTAAATAACTGTTGGTTTTATTTGGAATCGTAATGCAACTGCTTCGTGTATTTGATCTGTCACGTATAAACATTTAATCAAACATAAAAACCACCTATCTTTCGTAATAGAAATCTGATTAAGAACAGCTGATCTTTGAATTAAAGCCATATTTTGAAATAATTAGTATCTATTATCAATTGTGTATTGTGTATTTGAAAACAAACAACCAGACATTATTACAAAATAGCATTTCTTTTTTTTTCATTTTTTCTTTTTCTAAGAACTATGTGAAACAATAATATTAATAGTGTACAATATATGATATAAATAATTTTAAGTTTGTTGAATGATTATATTTTGTACATTAAGTTGTTAAGTTGTAGTGTTAAATCAACACACGATTTAAAACGTATGTAAAAGAGTCAAAGTAGTGACAGTTTTCCGATAAGCATAACAGTTGTTGCCGCCACTTTGAATCGATTGGATGGCCGCATAACATTACGAGTTAATAAATTACTCATATTTTTGTTGTTCTATTGCGTCGACTAACAGCAGGGTATCGATTTTATCGGTTGTTACACCGCTTAGTTTACATACAAAACAATAAAAAAAGTCAATTATATAATACTATACAATTTTTGGGGTGTCATTTTAGTAATAGCATACATTGGGTGGTTTTTTTTTTAATAAAATTTTTTGTATTTATAAGTAAAAATATATTTTGAAAAATGTATCTATTTTATGAAATTTTCTAAAACAGTAATTTATACTAGTGAAATTTAGTTAATATAATTTAACAAGTTAAAATATATGACTTCAATGTAAATTAAAAAAAATACTTAATTCTAAATAAAATATTTGGCAAATGTTAGAAGTCAAAACTGTTTTCAGAGAGTAATAAAAATGTATTAATTTATTTATGCAGCAAAAAACAAAATTTTCTAACAAAATTATCTGTGGCTCTGTTGCAATTTTGACCTATATCCTTAATAAAATTAATAAGACATCATGATATATTAGCGCTTTAGATGTCAATTATATTTAATCTATATAATGAGAAACCTTAGTGTCTCTAATTGTTGTTTTTGTCTTGTTAGTTGAACATGATTTTAATAGGAGGAAAAAAAAATACTCGTAAATTATAAAATTATTATTTATTATTATTATAACTTATTGCACGTATCCAGTGCATATACCAAGAGTTAATTAATATTTTGGTTAGAAATGTATACTGTATATTTATGAGATTTGTAATAAGAAAAAATTTATTTTATTAAACATTTTTTAAAGTATGTGTTGGTAAATTATAAAAATAGTTAAAGTTTTACCTGAATTTAAAATAATAATTAATTTTATAGCAATCAAATTTAAGCATATTTGAAAAAATTTAAATGATTAATTATTAAAAGAAATAGCATAGTTTTTTATTATGAAAATTATTGCCTACAACATATTATTAATGACAAGTGATCAATTCTTATTATATATCAAACATATATTTAATAAAATGCATACTTCGTCTTATCCCCCCATCCCTATTTCATTTTTAGAATTCAAAGTTAATTCATTTTATAAGATTGTTTATTTAGCTAAAGAAGTAATGGTTTTCAAACACATGTATAATTTACTAAGTCATTTATTTTACTACCATTGAAATTCTGATTATTTTGAAGTCAGTTGTGTATTTTTATAATTATGTATCTTTTAAAAGCTTTATGACTTTTAATCTATCTGATAATAACTCTTAATTAGAAAATTTTCCTATAATGTTGTGCATGAGCTTTTTGGTCCTTTTTTATCATTGATTTAGTTCAAAAATTTGATTTGTTTCGGAATGACTATTTATTTATTTTTAATACTCAAGGCCAATAACAAAAATAAAATGGTTCATTGGATGGTTTATACCACATGGCTATGATTTTAACTCAATTCCGGTTCTACCCAATGTTCTATCATTATTTTTTTATGATGACAATTTTGTTGTGACTATATACCAAATAATATTTAAAAGAGGGGTTTTTTCAATTGAGAAACCCCTACTATTTTGTTTACATCGTTGTTACCTTTATGTAGGATTAGTCAAGCTCGTCGAGAGTTGTCATGAATCTATTCTCAGTGCGTAACCGCTCCTCACACATAATACACATGGGTATAATTATCACAACACGTTCACATTGTTTATCGAACCATGTCAGCCTCTGTTATTTGGCTCACCTTCCTTTTCTACAGCTATCACCTTTTAGTAATTGTTTGTCCACATAGACAATTACATAATTTATATATGACTGATTTCGAGTTATTTAAATAGCGCATTTGACTTTAGGTATTCTATTCTGCTATCTTCATTTTTATCATCGGTTCAACATTTTTTTTTCAATCTTTGTGGTATTTTTTAATTGTTAACATGTGTTACTGTATTGATAATTTATGTTGGTTTATTAAGTATGTGTGCCATTGTTGATTTTTGGTCGGATAAAGTTAAAGGGTTACAGCTAAATTCAAGGTGTATTATGTTTTAATATAGTTTATTCTTTTAAACAGTATTTGTTATATTACTAAGTATTACATACATAATAGTTATTGTTTGATTTCCTACACATTTGGTAAAACAAATTTATACTAAATGCTTCTTTACTATGAAGCATATATTTAATTGAAATTTTAAGTTTTCACAAGTCAGATTTTAATGACTAACACGTTAAAAGAATCCGATTTTAATCGAGTTTAATTTTTAGTTGAACCTATCGTCGTCGTAAATAGGAAAAAAACCCTTCAATTTTAGGAATTTAGAAAAAATATCTTATAATTACAATACCATAAAAAAGGCATTTTTCAAATTTGTATTTCTGGTATTTAGCAAGTTGCTAAAAATTAATTTGTTTAAAATGATTCTAATGAAATTTTAATTATATAATATTAAATAAAATTAATCAATATAAAAGAGATAATGAGCTATCTTTTAGTGAAAATTTAATGAAAAACCTATGTACAGATAGAATTTAAAAGAGAACACCCACGCACGTAAAATATTTTTTCCACTTGATCATTATAAATATTCCGGAATGATTAAATTTTTCTGGCCTATATTAAATTTAAAGTTCTTAAGCCTTACTTACTACAATAAAAAAAAAGAAAAAAGAAATTTATCCGACAATTGTTCTATTACGAGAAATATCTTAGAAAGCACTGTGCTGGATTTTAATAATTTTGTTTTATTTTATATACTTTTCTCAATTTATCCATTATGGAATATTTTTATATTTATTCCTTATACTTTACGAGGATGACAATTTTATTTATTCAAACAGGAACATACATAATTAATTAACTTTCTATAAGGTAAAGAACTTATTAGTAAAATGACTGGATGATAAATTTTGTACCAGTATTTCAGAAGTTTTTAACAATTTAATGTAATGCCTGAATGTGAGTTGAGGGTGCTGCTATTTTTATCACTAGGCATTCCTTGGGCTTCCTTTATCTTCACATTTAAGTATATAAATGTTTATAACTGAATTATCAATAATATAGATTAAAAATAAGAAAAAAGGTTCAACGATTATATTCTTTACCAAATTATAAAATATTTTATTTCCTTATAATTATAATAGACATTTTTTATATTTGCCAATGATATGCTATATATTTTTATTAATTAAAAAAAAACAATAATTAAAATAGATAATCAAAAACCACAAGTTTCTCCGCGTTTTGCTTAATAGAATAGACGATGTTTTTAACTAACCAGTAAGTTCAATGAAAATGTTAAAATAATTATGATATTTCGTTGAGTAATTAATTTTAATTGACTGATCTGTATTATGTTTGTTTACAATTGTTCAAAATTACATTTTTAAATGAAACAGCTTCTTAACTAATACTGCAGAAACCTTCTCAATCATTTAATAATCAACCTCGTGCAGTGGTTTTTTTTCACAGTTACTCGTTTTTTAATTTATAGGTTGCTTTTTGGTTTTTATTAACTTTTTTGACTTTATTTTATGTTTTGAAATATGTTTTACATATTTGATATTGTGAAGTACATTTTTATGATGCATAATTTATTTGTGTATTTTTTGGAATGTTAAAATTTATGGATGATGTCGAGTAGTTAAACTTATTTTTATTGAATATTAACTGATTTACTTTTGTCATTTACATAATTATGTAATAAAATTTTTATGAATTAATTACTTTAAAAATTCACTAATAAACTTCATAAAATTTTCAGCTTTGTGGATTAGCTCTTGCTGGTTTTGGATTACTGACAAAATACATAGTGTCAAAATCCGATGAATTGGCTGATAAAGTGTCTGGTGATACTGCCGCACTTATCGCCTTGGCGATGATAATTATTGGAGGTGCGGTATTCATCGTTTCGTTTTTTGGATGTTGTGGAGCCATAAGAGAGAGCCATTGTATGATCACAATTGTAAGTATTTTTCGAATAATGAAGATAAAATATATGTAAAATTCTTGTATATGCTCAGTTTAATATGACTTTAAGATACTTAAATAATTTTAACAGTTTAAAATTAATTGCTTTCCATAATCATTGTGTATTGATTTGGTACAAGCACTGACTCAAATAATTAGCTGAATCATCGTTAGCGTATCGGATTCTTCCTTACTTTTAAATGGATCTTAATAAATTACAAGATGTACACTGCGTACAACAAATGTTTTACACGCGTCAAAATAATTATTTACTCATTATCTAAACCCAATATAACTTGAAAAAATCGATTTAATTTTAATTTAAACTGTCATTTAACAAAGTTAATAGAACTGTATTACTTCCATAGTACGCAATGTTCCTATTAGCCATATTCTTAATTCAAGTGAGCTTAGGAGTTTATGCTTACCTCCATCAAGAGCAAATAGAAGTGTACACCAGAAAAGGATTGACTTCATATTTCGATAACTATAATAAGAGCAATTCTACTCAGACCATAGTCGATCAGTTACAACACGAAGTGAGTAAATTTTAAAAAATGATATACAATTAGTTATACAATTAGAATATAATTTAATGTATGATGAGGTGACATCGAAAATTACTGAAAACGTAATCTATGATGTCTGCGTGAATTATTTTTCGTCATTAAACCGATTTTATTGGAAAACTACTTTATTTTTAATTTTTTTGACGGTAAAATCAATTAAGGGTTGGGTATATTCTCTATTTGTCTGTTTTTAGAACGTGCTTTTTGATTATGAAATCTTAAATCTTACTAACATCCTCAGTTTTGATTGTATTTATCTCGTACTTATCTAGGGTATTTAATTTCTAAAAATAATAATATTTTTTTTTGGTTATAAATACGTAAAAATAGCGATTGAGAAATAATTTAATGCACAATAGTCGCTCGTATTACTTAAAATTCGTTAATTTTATTAATTTTTTCAATAATAAAGAAACGTTTTAAAGACGATGTTATGAAGGTTATTTTGCTGTAATTACAGTTACTAAAACTTACCTAGATATTCTAAATTATAATTGTAATAAATTAATATTTAAAATATTTAATTATAGCTTCACTGCTGTGGCGTTGATAATATTGACTACTGGACAGCAGAAAAAAACCCTGGTGGTCTACCTCATTCTTGTTGTAGAGAAGATCAAGGTTATGGTACTGTTTGCACTAAGACTGAAGCTTGGCAAGAAGGATGTCTGCCAATAGCTTCACAAAAACTTAAAAAAGAATCCTGGTCTTTCATTAAAGTAGTGTTGGCAATTGCTGGAGGAGAGGTAATTAAAAATATATTGACAATTATTTTAAGTTCAACTTAAATTGTATTATGAGGTATACTTCTTGTATTTGAAATTTGAATTTTTATTTACGATATGTGACTTCTTATCATCACGATTCTAAGTGAGGCTTATAAATTTCAATAATTTATTTTCTACATAATTCTGTTTATTAAACTGTTATTTTTTCCTGTTTTTTATAAGTCAAACAAAATATTTCATGTTCATTTCAATTATTTTATATATATGCCTATTTATACAAATCGTATTGCTGTATAAAAATTACTGCGGGTCTTAAGGTTTATTGATCTTCAATTTAAAATCAGAATGTTTCTCATCATTATTAAAGTTATTGTTAATATAAGATTCTGTTTTACATTAAAAAATTGCTTTTTCTTAAAATATTAATTTTCACTCATTGTATGTAATGTTATTTCAGCTAATTGGTATCATATTTGCATTATGTTTGGCAAGCAGCATTAGAAATGAAGAGCGCAGGCAAGGATACGCCTAAATCTTCAACGTTTCATCAAAACATAAAAATATAACTGTTTAATAAGTTCTAAAAATTGTCTAAATAAGAAGAAATTATGAGTATGCAGTTTCCAATTGGTTTTTTACACACTATGTTTACAGCGAGTTTTCTAAAAATACGTCACTAGTATTATCAATATTAAATGTTTGTATGTTAATAATGAGTAATTTATACTCATAAATTTTTTAATAAATTTACGTAACTTCTGACATATAAACAAATTGTAGAATGTTACGTTGGTATTACTAAATTTAATACCACACTAAATTATTAATGTTAAATTTTTATATATTTTTATTAATTATTGCTGTACAAAGCACTAAAATAGGCTTAGAATATTTTGTTTAATTATTTAATAATGCGTTTTGTCAACTCTTAAAATTAGTTTTAAATTCACTTTTGTGTAAATTGCATAGTATTTATGAAACACTAAAATTAGTATTAGTTCTGATGATATTATCGTTATAATTTAAAATAAGCTAAGTAGTTTTATAGTGTTGAAACTTTAGGACATTGTATATTTTACTACTATTTATCAATACGATATGAATCTAATACTTTATGTTTCTTTGATAAGTAAATTTATTTTTAAAAGATCTACTATGATGTTATGATGTTTCTGTAACTGAACCATCCAAATTATATTGTATTCTGTATGCTGTATAAAAATTGCAATTTTATGTTTAGTTCTCATTTAAAAAAAAAATTGGGGTAATCTGTGAAATTTATAATCCTTTAGTAGATATCAGTGATTGTTTGATCTATATAATTACTAAATGATTTCACAAAGTCTACGTCTCCAAAAATATATTTAAAAAAATTCTTCTAATTGATAGTGCGCAAATAACAGTAAAACTAAACTATATCAGAACTTATTGCTTTTAGATGTAGTGTATATTTTGTAATTTGTTCATTAAAAGAACATGTTTTTTCTTGTTTATGCTACTTGGTACATAAGTCGTCTGTAACATCAATTTATGGTGTTTGGAATTCATGTGTAATAATGATTTCCACTAATTTATTAATTTGTTTCTCAAATCAGTAACTAATTCCCAATTAAAATTCGTTTTTAAATCATATATTAATATCACCCCACGTTAATAGGACATAGTATATAATTATTAAAAAGTTAATGAATTCAACTAATAATTTCCTTTTTCTAAAAATTTGAATCTATTTGAAATTCATTTGAGTGAAATATAAAATAATAATTTATATATTTTTACGATAAAATAGAACTTTCATTTATTTAATTAATATAATAAATATATTATAGTTAGTATAATAAAATTGGCAATTGTCTAAAGTCTATTATACTAATAAAACTTTTTGTCGTTCTTATAAAACAAATAACGATTAGGACATAACGATCTCTAATGGTATTTATGTTAGTACATTAATCTTATATCCGTGAGTTTTCAATATTCCAGCAAATTGTTTATTTTTTCTATTTAATTGTAGTTTAGGTTTATTTCCTAGATGATGGCCATTTATATTAGTGAACTTATTTAAGAGCTAAAATACTCCTATTTCACACTTTTAACATGGTACGAAAAATATATTATGCGCCTGGTAATAATTACAACTATTTATTGAATAAATTGACTTTTCAAATTTTAAGGTATTTTTAAAAATTATTTAACCATTTGAATATGTTTAATTGAGTTATAATTAAGAGAAAATATTTTATGAATTTAACTTAGTTAAATCATTCTCTTTAAATTTAGAATATCTTTGTGGTTGACCGGCATAGCACCAAATATTTTCACTGAGTCAATAAATTAATAAGATAAATAATAATTTTACTTTTTTTAATAAAAATTAATTTTATCAGTAAAATAATGTTCAATAGGCAATAATAGGCATAATAATGCTATATAATATCAAATATATTACTAAAACTGAAAAGAATTATTTATTACAAAATAATATACTTCTACTGTTGGTATGGCAATAATAAAGCTGAATAAAAGAAAGTAATATAAATAATATTAATTAATTAGGTTAATGTAAGATCAAGCTAAAAACTTTTATTTACTATTAATAACTACATAGTTTGTAAATATTTGTATAATTTATTTTTACTTATATTTAATAAAAAAATAAGTATAGTATAAAACTATTTTTTATAAGTTGAACTAATTGATTTCTATACAGCGTCCCTATTTCTGGTTTAACTTGATTTTTATAAAACTTTCACATATAACCAGAGTCATATTTGAAAATTGTTCTGATAAAGTATTAAATCTTTTTGACCCATGAAATATATTTATGACATCAATATAAAAGATATTCTGTTAAAAAAACTAATTAACTCGTTGACAAATTTGATTTTGACTAATTATTTAAACAAAATGTTATTATTTCATTTAAACAAGGGGATTGTAACTACCTAAAATTAATTTTGCTTATTTGTATTTTCCTAAAAAAGTAATAACGCTCCTCCCCAAAAGTATTTTATGGTTGCGATAATCCTACCTTATGTTTAATATCCCAGCTTGCAATATTTAAATATTTTTTATGCTTAAAAATAGACAAAAAGAAAATTAATAGTTATTATAATAATTAATGTACAGAATTTATATACTCCTTTCGCGTTGACGTCATACCACCGCCATAGTACATTTTACATCAACATTCAATACATCTTTCAAAGTCAAGTTCAATTGCTCAGTGACTTTTAGTCACTTGAACAATACTCTTATGGTTATCTTAAATTTAAAGACAACCGATGGATTTTCAGTTTAGCTGGATTGCCGAATTTGCAGCATTTGCATGCATGTTAGGAATATCTATAAGCATTGGTGTCTACTATGGATTTATTGAACGTAAGCAAAACACTATCACCGACTATCTACTGGGTGGCAAGCATATGGCAGTTTTTCCAATTACTATGTCTTTGATTGCCAGGTTTGTCATTTAATAGTAGTATGTATGTATTATAAAGTATTTTTCTTATATTTTACTATATGTCGACCAATTATGAATCTATTAATAGTTACTTAATGTGTTATTTTTTCTATATTAAAAGGGCGTTTTCATAAATACTTAAAAATATCTTTTGATATAATGTATACAAGTGTTCAGTGAGTAAGGAAACAGGTCAATTGTTACAAACAATAACGACAATAGAAACCCGTTTCCTTACTTATTGAACATCTATATAGTTTATGGTATATAACTGGAATTTGTAAAAAGTGCTGTCTTTAAAATGAATACTAGACACGTAAAACGATTTTTAAATATTTTTAATGATTTTAAAATGTGATTATTAAATGTCCTAAACAAGCAGAGGAATTGTTTCTCCTGTAATTTTTAACTTATATAAAAACAGTCAAATTTGGTTAACAGATTTTAAAAGAACATTCTATTAAAACTTAAAAAACGCTCATAAAACTTAATATTACAAAATTTTCGATATCTCAGAATTAAATAAATAAATTAAACTATTGAGCTAATGTAATTTAATAGATTGATGAGCTTAACATAGGCGTAAATTTATCAAAAATATTAGGGGGCTAAATTTATTTTGTTGATTAAATCTTCATAAGTCGTTTTTTTGGGATCATAGAATTATTTTTATACTGAATACGTTTTCTCATTTTTAATACTGTAAATAATGTTATTAACCTTATGTACATAAGAGAAGCGTATTCTTATTGATTTGCATATGTATTTAAGTGACGATCATTCTAAATCATAAAAAAACATATTTTCTTTTAATTTTAAAATCTGAAACTGTTATGTTGGTATATTTTTTGCATATTTAGGTAAAATTTATTCAAAACTTTAAGTTCTCACTTAGATGCATAGGCACTATTTCAATAAAAATTTTAGTGGGCTTATTATATTAAATTTCCAACTTCTTAAAATTATTTGTGTATAAAAATAAATATAATTTTTCTAAAATTTTAGTGAGATTTATTTTTTAATTAAAGCGGCCAAGCTCCACCCCAATTTGCACCTATATTCGGATAACCGTAATGAACCTAATTCCCCTAACTAAAATTTGAACAAAAAATAGTTATTTTTTTGAAGTCATGTTAATTTGAAAAATTATAATTAATATTATTAAATTTTCATCTAAGGAAAAAATTATTTATTAAAAATAAATAATTATGTAATTATTTATTTCAAGCGCATAATTATTTATACATGATACATTTTTCATAAAATTAAGAAATAAATGTAGTAGAATTAATTAATGACCTATTGTTTCCAAATTTATACAATACATTTTTACAGTATTATAATATAATACTATGACATTTTTTGTTATGCTTAAATATTCATTATTCATGATTTATCTTTTTAGTACGGTCAAAAATTCAAATTTTCACGTAATTACTGTCAAACAATACATAAAATTTAAGTCGTTAATTATTACTTCAAAAACGCTAATTTTTTTTAGTAATTACATAAACATTGATATCCTTGTGTTTGATCTTGAAGTATCCAATGTTTAAGATGATTATATTTTTTATGTTTAAATGAGAAATCACACTACATAAGGAATACTATTAAGAAAAAATAGGATGATTCTCTAAAATCTAAAATTTTCATGAATCTACTTTTATATCCAGGCTAACACTATATATTTTTTCAATCGTTTCTTTTATCTTCTAAGAGACAAAATATAAGTTTTCCTGGAAATTTTCATTTTTTCCTAACTATGCACTATTGTAAAAGAAATTAGTTTCTTATAAATTAATAAGTATTAAGTAATACTTTTAGAATATTTAAATGAGAAATTTTTTTTATCATATTAACACCAACATATTTGATGTTTAAAAATTACATCAAAACACCCTAAATGTACATTTTTTTATCACAACTAAAACTATCATGTGCGCAAGTGTGTTAGTTACTAGCGAATATCACGTTATAAAATTGTGGAAGATTCAACTGTAGCAATAAAAGAAGGAATTGTCGTATAACAATTGATTAAAAATGGAATGATTGTCCAAAAAACCTGTTGGGGAAACATGCAACGCCCAATTTCCTGAACAATGACATTACCATTTGATTTATCCAAGGCAAGATGAAGCATGGGGTAAAATGACTTATTATCAATAAATTATTTGAATTATAAATATGGTCAAAGAGTTTAGTATTTATCAATTTACTCTAATCATTAATAAATTGATAAACGCTAAACAGTTTGACCATATTTTATGATCTTTCTTCTTTTTTCTCGCCTTAATCCCAACTACTTAGGGTCGGCCATTTCTCTCTTATACACGAGTTCAGCCTAGAGTTAAGTGGTGATGTCCCTACACCGTGGACACTATAAGCATTCAGTTGACCTGTACATGTCACTGGTGAAACAGCTCCTGCAGAAGTTGTCCGGCTGGTATCAAACACTTTATTCCTTAGGCTTTCTTCATTTTTAACTACATTATTTCCTCTCACTTGTTGTCTCCACGTACATCCGAGACAATCCGCCTAAGTTTTGTTCAGGACTCCTCATACTTTTTGACAAAAATTTTACGCTGGCTGTCGACCTGACGCAACCTCATTAGTCGCCTCTTACGACTAGCAGAAGGGCTGTGGAAGTATTCTTATCCTCTATCCACAGATATATTTGACCATATTTTATAATCTAAATAATTTATTGTTAGTAAGTCATCTTACCCCATGCGTCACTTTTCCACAGGTTACTCTATTGACACTACTTATTAATGTGACCAAATATGAACTATTCGCGTGAATAATTCCTCGATATTAATATAATAGTTATACCATGGTATAAGAACTAAATCATCTAATTGTATAATCGGTAACGCGTTGTCGATGCGTAGGTACCAGGATTAGATTCCTTTGCACTGTGATATGTAAGTTTTCCCGACCTCTCTGGCACAAGCAATAACTTTTAAAGAGGACGTTAAACATGGTCAAACATAAATAAATATAGCTTAAAACGATACCGTGTTTACCTCAGCCGCACATCACGTTATCGACCTACACGAAAGTATATCAGGATCTAAGTCATAAATGCACAGTAACTTAGTGTTAAGGTTTGTCTCTACGACGTCTTGGGTCGCGAGATCTAATATCGTACTGTGCCTCTTTTTCTCGCATAATTTCTAATACACTTTCTATTACCGCCAGTTTATCCCTAGCAGTTGTGTTAAGAAAAGATATAATATGAAAAATATTTGTGCATTTCAATCCAAATTATTAAATAAATACCTTCTTAAAATCAACATTGGCTCGTCTATTTTAACAAATCCTAAACATTTTTTTAAATTTCAAAATGCTCACGGCACATTGAAACTTACAATGTATAAATGAAATATTTAGTAAAATGTTCAAATTTTGTCCAACTAGAACTCGTATTCCTCCAACAATACTACGTTTAGCAAAATACACAAAACAAATAAAAAAAAAATATATTAATACCAGAAACTCTTTTTTTAACTTGGTCGTTAGGTTTCTATAGCATTTTGAAGTTTCTTAAGTTTTGAATGTTTATATGATTTTTTTATGGTATCAAATGTTAGTCCATATTATGTAAAAGACGGATAAAACACAATCTTATTACATTACTTACTGGCGACTGTACGCAATTTCTTTTCATAATGATTAAAAACGGTAGCACAGTGGGGTCGAGGCACAGTGTGGACGAGGTATAGATGGGACAAGTATAGGTGATATCTGACAGTGATTAAAATCACTATCATAAAAAACGCTTCGATGCAAATCTGTAGATAGCGTTTCATTTAGAGAAATTGGTGGATTATTCCAAAAGCAACATCAACTCTTATTTCTTTAATTATATCCTGATTATTAGTTCTTTGATTTTAAAATATAATATAGGAATAAATACTAATTATAGTTTTTAAATTTAGTATGAAATTGTGAGGCCAGCTATGATGTATGGTTCATAGTGTTGGGCGGTTGATAAGAAAGTAGAGCAGAGAATAAGTGTAGTAGAGATGAGAATGCTTAGTTAGATGAGTGAAGTGACTAGAGAAGATAGAATAAGAAACGAGTATATAAGAGGAAGTATAGGTATTGCGTCAATCGTGGATAAGATGAGAGAAAATAGACTAAGATTGTTTAGTCATGTTATGAGGAGAGAAGAATCGGAAGCTGTAAGAACAGTTATAGAAATGAATGTTGAAGGAAGAAGAGATAGAGGAAGACCAAAAAAGAGATGGAGGGATGCTATTGAATGCGATTTGAGGACAGCTGATGTGAGGGTAGAAGATGTGGGAGATCGTGTCAAGTGGAAGCTTAGGATAACGGTGGCCGACCCCAAGTAGTTGGGATTAAGGCAAAGAAAAAGAAAAAGATTACCAGAAATTCCTGTGGCAATTGACATAATATGATTGTTGTTTGGGAATGTACAATTTAGCGTTTAGTAGGGTTTAAACAATATAGTGTCAAATCAATTACCTACTCTATCGGTTGTATATTAATATACACTACACTTTAATGATACAATAAATAAATAAACTCACACATACACACATATGCATTTATAACATTGTGTCTAATGTAAGTATAACATGATAAAAAGTAACCGTAAAATGAAAAAAATGGAATATAAATTTTAGTACTCATATTAAATGTAATGTAACTCGAAAAATATTTGTTTAAATGAAAAAATATAAGATAATTTTTTTGTTTATAATTGTCTTTTAAACAACTTTTGTACGAAACTTTTTTTTGTAAGTTAAATATTTTTTGAGAAAATTAAAAAAACTCATATTTTTTAACTTTTGCGAGGCTGTAAAAAAAAAGCTCAATGCCAATTAATGAGGATAATTAGTATGTCATTATAGATATTTTAATTCAACTTTTAAAAAAACAAAATTTGGTTGGGAATTTTTTCCGCAATTTTTCCTTTGTTGACTGGCCTAGATGTCAATTTTAAACTTGTAATTGAGCTAAAAGTTATGGTA